AACAATCTCTCCACTTTTGGAAGTAAAAGGCAGATTTCGCTTCTCGCTCAGGGAAATGGCCTTCTCTTCCGACACTAAGCGGGCATGATGAATGACGGTAGGAATCAATCTATCACAATGGGCAGCATGGAATCGGCTAAATGAGGCAAAGCAGCGGTTCCAATAATTTTGGTAAGCCTTCGAGAGATTACCAACGCGCTGCCGGCTAGCCAGAGCAAGAGCAAGAGGCCTGCTGTCCCCCGGCACACTCTCACCAGTCCAAAAAACCCTGTGCAAGGTCAGGAAATCTCCATGGTTGGGGCTGGAAGGCACGCCTTGGTCGAACCCAAACTGTCGTCTGACCCGGTAAGGGGAATAATGCACAGAAACCTCCGAGTGATCGTCACCAAATGTGGGCAAAGGAAGACATGCAGCGCTTAGTATGATGAGGCACAATAGGGACAGAAAATAAATTGCTCAACATCGTCCAGCAGCTCTAAAAAGTTTTGGCCCTTCCGTTGCATGCGACGGGACCATCTACAGATCAGAGGAAGACTACCCGGCATGTAGGAATTCTCGTCCGAAGCAACCAGTGACTCAGCCTTTGAATAAGGAAGTGGAGATACCTCTATTCCTTTGAAGCGTTCCCATAAAAAGATCTGCAGAAAACTGGAATTTACAAAAGTTTCCACAGCCATGGTTCCGGCCGCCCCCTTCTCAAGAAATTGAATCTGGTCAAGCAAGCGGTATAGGTGCCCTAAGAACATGGGGGCTAAAGGAATCATGCTGCCCCGTGCTATTGCCAAAGCCAACGGAAACACTCTCCCATGCAAGCAATCTTGGGAAAAATCACAAAAGAGGAATCTCCCGAGCCACAATGACACGAATGCAGCAAGGCGACACGGCTCATCTCGGTCGCTGTTCCCGAAAAACTGAATCCAATTACTGAATCTTAGAGAAGTACTAGGAGAAGTCGGAGCACCCTTCCGTAAAGTCTCAAGCTTTAGCCCGTCTTCCGGGGTTAGTGCAATGCGGAAAGGATCTTGACTGCCGCAAAGTGGGAGCCGGAAAATGTTGGCTACATCCTCAAGCGTGGGAGTGAACTCTCCCCACGAGCAAATGAAAGTATGTGTCTCGGTACTCCACCGTCTAACCAAATGTCGAATCGTCTTGACTTCAATATGGATGTCGCAAGCCTTAGAGGCAAAGATGGCTTCCAACACACCTGCCCGGCTTAGGATATCACAGGTAGACGGGTCCTTCAGTTCACAGTCAACCCACTCCGACCAACCCTTGCTGGTGCTGCAGGGATATTGAAGGAACAAAGGAACTGCCGGAAACAGACCCCTTTCTATACAGCACCTTGATATAGATGCGGGGTCAATCACCGGGGTAGATTCTGGCGCTGGTTCTTCATCAATGATTATGTCCTCGTCAGCACCCTTAAGCAGAGGAGGTGGCCTCCCTCTCTTCAACCTGTCATCCATGGAATAGAGGTGATCCCTTATGATAAATGGTGGATTACCGGATGCCATAATAGGTACCTGCATATAGAAAAGCGAGAAGAAGCAAGATGGAATTAGCACACATACGATACGTATCAGGCACGACTGGTTATGGTCGTCAAATTCGTCAAAACTGCCTGTGCAGGTGAGCTGACTTTGGAAGCAAGTTGCGAACAGCTCAGAATGAATTAGAGAACGTGCCATATATGCTTGGAAAGCTACAGATGTCTATTCTCTGGAGCATTTCGTGGATTGTTCATATCATTTTTCTAGAAGCAGTAATGACCGTTTTAACACTGAAAGGTTCACAAGAGGCTGAGCAGTTTGTAACTGCAATGAAAGCAATAAACCCAATAAACGTGACAGCCAAAACGGATGCTGAAAAAACAAGCCAGTGGAAACCTATTCAAATATCTGAGGAAATGGAATTAAAGATGGGGATTAGGTGGGAGTAATTGGCTTAAAGGCCACCCAAAGAGTTACAATTGTTTTACCATTTTCTCTCACTTATTGTCATCAATAAATAGCTATTAGTGGAATAAGTTTTGGAGGGAGCGATCTGTGGAAAAAGAAACAGAGAGGCAAGGCAGGAACGTTGGAGGAGGGAGGAAATCTTGGCATTCTCTTCTTTCGGTTTTACCTTCCCAAACTCATGTCTTTCTTTTGGTTTAATTTAAGAATAATGTGTAACTAAATTTTTAGTAGTTAGGGGCTGTTTTGAAGCCCCATATATGATTGCAAATGTGTTATGACATTTCGTTTCAATTTCTTTCATGAAAGGATGAAAATTGCTTCACTACTTGTCTCGTTGATGAATTCTTTATGTGTTTTCTACGGATGCATACTTAGTAAGCATATTTAGGATTTTAATGCTATGAATATGTGTATGCCTGCCCTTGTTGAATGAGGACCTACATATGTTCTAGAGTAGTACTTGTTATTTGCATTTAACATGTGAATCAATTTCTAGGATAAGTAAGACAACGCCAGTACTTATGATGCCTTGTGATGACTCAAACTCTTTTCGTTCTTAATGATTTCTACTTGTTAAATCTATGAACACGCCATTCTAGATTGCATGCTAGGGACTAAGTTAAGTTGAAAACGTCATTCTCTTAACATACTACATAAGAAAGAGTAATAGGTTGAGTTCTAACATTGAGCCAACTTGAGCATCTTCATCCGGAAATAAAAGGAATCTGATTGAAACATAACATGTTTGCATGACTATTTGGTGGTGGATAGCACTTCCCCTAACTCATTTTCTTAATTGTGAAATATAATCTGTTCTTCAAAATCTGTTTCTGTTCTTTTGTTGTCCGATTTAATCTATATAGCAAATCAACTCTAAAAATCCCAAAAATTTGTGTGAGTGTAGCTCTGCGTGTCTAGTATCTGTGCATAAAATTTCATAGACTTTCGATATGTGTAAGTGGGGATAATAATTATTTCTTCGGTGGCTGGTCAGTAGGGACAGCAGCCCAGTTTTTGTGACATTTCAAGTAGTTAGATAAGACAATCTTCTGCGGGAAAGACCCTTATTTTCATATGCTACAATTGATGAATCTTAGTGTTAATAAGGAAAATCAATAGGTTATTTGTGTGCTACTTTGTGGTGTGCTTTTAAACCTATCAATTTTTGGCGCCGTGTCGCCGGGGATTGTTATTTCTAATCACTTATTTTTCTTTTGTTTTTATTTTCTTGTCTAATTTGTGTTTTTGTTTTTTGTTTTTATTTTAGGTACTCTTTGCGGTATATGCATACTCGAAGGTCGAAGAGCATTGACCTAGCTTCCTTTGATCCTGAGCTTGAACAAACACTTCGAAAGCTTCGGAGAAAAATCAAGCAGCAGCGTGCAACGGTGTCCTTGCCACCATCTTCTCCACCACATTTGAGTTCAGAAGAGGAGGAAGAACCACCAGAAGACATGGCTGATAACCGTACTTTGAGGGAGTTGGCAACGCCAAATACGGATCAACAGCCATTGTGCATCACATATCCAAATGCAGAAGGAGGATTTGAGCTCAAGTCTGGCATGATTCACTACTTGCCTAAGTTCCATGGCTTTTCAACAGAGGATGCCAACAAGCATCTCATGGAGTTTCACGTGGTATGCTCAGGAATGAGACCAGCAAATGTGAATGAGGAGCAAGTCAAGTTGAGGGCATTTCCATTTACATTAGAAGCTAAGGCAAAGGAGTGGCTTTACAATTTACCTCCGGGATCAATGAACACATGGAACCAGGTAAAGCAAGCATTCTTGGAGCAATATTTTCCGGCCACAAAAGCTGCAAGCATAAGGAAAGACATATCTGCAATTCGACAACAACATGGAGAGCCCTTTGGAGATTACTATGAGCGGTTCACGCATTTGGTTGCATCTTGTCCTAATCATCAAATTTCTGAGCATCTTCTAATACAATACTTTTATGAGGGATTGTGTGGTACTGATCGTGTAATGCTTGATGCAGCAAGTGGAGGAGCATTCATGGACAAAACACCAACTAATGCTAGGGCATTGCTAAAGAACATTGCTGGCAACACACGACAATTTGGAGGGAGAGATGAGCTACCTTTTAAGAAAGTTAATGAGGTAAGTACTAATTCTAGTATTGAATTACAATTAGCTAACTTGACTAATCTTGTGCAACAGGTTATGGTGGCTCCAAAACAAGTGTGTGGTGTATGTTCAATCATGGGACATGCCACGGACATGTGCCCTTTGTTGATGGATCAAGGTGGTCATGAGCAAGCTAATGCGTTAGGAGGGTTTCAGGGGCAACAAAGGCAAAAGTATGATCCATACTCCAACACTTATAATGTAGGGTGGCGCGATCATCCACACTTCAAGTGGAGTAATCAAGACAATGGACAACAATCTGTTCCCAACAACTATAACCGTCCACCTGGCTTTTCTCAAGCAAGACCGCATGCACCATTGCAGCCTCAACAACAACAACCTCCAAGTAAGTCTCTTGAGGATTTAATTGCTTCTTTAGCTAACTCTACTCAGTCTCATCAACAAAAAACAGACAAAGCAATTGAGAACCTTGAGCGCCAAATGAGTCAGTTAGCGGGTTTGATAGGGCAACAACAACAGCCAGGAAGGTTGCCTAGCCAAACTGTGGTGAATCCAAATGCAGAGCAGATGAATGTTGTGACTTTAAGGAGTGGAAAAGAAGTTTTTGAGCAGCCAAGGATGCAAAAGAGGATTAGAAAAGATACAAATGGGCAAGGGGAGCAACAAACCAAAAATTTTGAGCAAAATGAGGCTTCAACAAAAACTGAAGAGTCTCTTAAAGCTACAGAATTGAGCAAAAACAATTCTGATAAGGTAAGTAAAGAAGTTCAAAATTCATTTAACTCATGTGTCCCTATTCCTTTCCCTCGCAGGTTTATGAAGTCTAAGAAAGAGCAAACTGATAAGGAAATCTTGGATACTTTTCGGAAAGTCCAAGTGAACTTACCTCTTTTAGATGCCATAAAACAAGTGCCCAAGTATGCAAAGTTCCTTAAAGAGCTTTGTACGAACAAGAGGAGATTCGATGATCAAGAAACTGTGGCATTAAACGAGGAAGTATCAGCTGTTTTGCAGAGGAAGCTGCCACCGAAGTTGAAGGATGCCGGTAGCTTTACCATTCCTTGTGTAGTCGGAGGGAAAGAGTTTGGCAGAGCATTGTGTGATTTGGGGGCATCTATCAATCTGATGCCATATTCAGTGTATGAATCATTGGACCTTGGAGAGTTAAAGGAAACAAAGGTAGTAATCCAGTTGGCAGATCGTTCAAATAGATATCCTAAAGGCCTATTGGAGGATGTACTTGTGCAAGTGAATGAGCTCATTTTTCCCGCTGATTTTTTTGTTCTTGAGATGGAACATGACCCTATGCCTACTGCACTTCCTCTTATATTGGGAAGACCATTCCTTAGAACGGCACGTACGAAGATTGATGTCTACGATGGTACCTTAACCATGGAAATTGATGGAGAAAGCGTCAAGTTCAGAATCTTCGATGCCATGAGGTACCCTAGTGATTTTGCATCTTGTTTTTCTATTGATAAGTTTGATTATTTTGTGCAGGATTGTTTTAATAAAGGTGTGGGACAAGAAAATTTAGAGAAGGTGTTAGTGCATAGCATTACACGTGGAACGCTTAATTATTCCGAGCACATTGAAGAAGAATTAATCCAAATAGTGGCAGCCCTTGAGTCTCTTTCACCAATTCGTGGTAAGTCTTCTTCCTATTTTATTTCTCTTCCTACTTCTAATGAAAAGACTTTTCCTTCTGTAATTCAGGCACCCAAATTGGAGCTTAAACCGATTCCTAAACATTTGAAGTACGCATTTTTGGGGGAAGATGAAACATTACCGGTCATCATATCGTCACAACTCACAACAGAAGAGGAAGAGAAACTGATTCGGGTACTGAAGGATCATAAAACTGCCATAGCTTGGAGCATTGCAGATATCAAAGGTATAAATCCAGCTACATGTATGCATAGAATTCTGTTGGAGGAAGGTGCAAAACCAACAAGGGAAGCTCAACGCCGTTTGAACCCACTCATGATGGAAGTCGTCAAGAAAGAGGTTATCAAACTTCTTGATGTTGGAATCATATATCCTATCTCAGACAGCAAGTGGGTGAGCCCTGTTCAAGTAGTTCCTAAGCGATCCGGAGTCACAATTGTTAAGAATGAAGCTAATGAGCTAGTACCTACACGAGTGCAAAATAGTTGGAGAGTCTGTATAGACTATCGGAAGATAAATAGCGCCACACGCAAGGATCACTTCCCAGTCCCATTCATTGATCAAATGTTGGAAAGGTTAACTGGGCATTCTCATTATTGCTTTCTTGATGGTTATTCTGGATATAATCAGATTGTAGTTGCTCCGGAGGATCAAGAAAAGACGACTTTCACATGTCCATTTGGCACATTTGCATATCGAAGGATGCCGTTTGGACTTTGCAATGCTCCCGCCACATTTCAAAGGTGTATGGTAAGTATCTTTTCTGATATGATTGAGAAAATAATTGAAGTGTTCATGGATGATTTTTCTGTTTATGGTGATTCTTTTGATACTTGTCTACATAATCTGTCCCTAGTTCTAAAACGTTGTCAAGAAACTAATCTAGTATTAAATTGGGAAAAATGTCATTTCATGGTTTCACATGGATTAGTTCTAGGACATATCATATCTGAAAAGGGAATTGAAGTTGATAAATCTAAAGTAGAACTTGTTAGTTCATTACCCCTCCCTACTACTGTCAGGGAGGTTCGTTCTTTTCTTGGACATGCAGGTTTCTACCGTAGGTTTATAAAGGACTTCTCAAGGATTTCTAGACCCTTATGCCGTTTGCTTCAAAAGGATGCAACATTTGATATGAATGAAGAGTGTGTGGTAGCATTCAACAAGCTTAAGGAGTTGTTATCCACGGCTCCTGTGATCATGCCACCAGATTGGAGTTTACCATTTGAGTTGATGTGTGATGCTTCAGACTATGCCGTCGGTGCAGTTCTAGGGCAGCGTGTCAACAAAGTGCCACATGTCATCTATTATGCATCTCGAACACTCAATGATGCACAGTTGAATTATTCAACAACAGAGAAGGAGCTTTTAGCTGTTGTATTTGCTTTAGACAAATTTAGATCTTATCTGATTGGGACTAAAGTTATTGTGTTTTCTGACCATGCAGCTTTGAAGTACCTACTCACAAAAAAAGATGCAAAACCACGACTCATTCGATGGATACTTCTGCTTCAAGAGTTTGACTTGGAGATCAGGGATAAGAAAGGGACTGAGAATGTTGTAGCAGATCATCTTAGCAGACTTGTGCATTCACACACAGAGGAAGATCTCATCCCTTTACGTGAGAGTTTTCCGGATGAACAATTGTTTTCCTTAAAGGCCACTGACCCTTGGTATGCAGATATTATCAATTACAAGGTCACCAAAAAGATTCCGGATGATTTTACACGTGCTCAGAAAGATAAGCTTGTCAAAACCGCCAAATATTACGAGTGGGATGATCCTTATTTGTGGAAATATTGCCCTGATCAATTGATTAGAAGGTGTGTCCCCGAATCTGAGTTTAAATCTATTCTAACTTTTTGTCACTCTTATGCATGTGGCGGCCATTTTGGAGCAAAAAGGACAGCGCTTAAGGTGCTAGGGAGTGGTTTTTATTGGCCTAGTTTGTTTAAGGATGCGTACGAGTTTTGTGCAACATGTGATCGTTGTCAACGAACAGGTAACTTGGGCCCAAGAAATCAAATGCCACAAACCCCTATTTTAATTGTTGAAATCTTTGATGTGTGGGGCATTGATTTCATGGGGCCTTTTCCATCTTCAAATGGTTTTCTCTACATTTTATTGGCTGTGGATTATGTTTCTAAATGGGTGGAAGCAAAAGCCACCAAAACAAATGACTCAAAAGTTGTCTCAGATTTTATTAAGACTAACATTTTTGCAAGATTTGGAACACCTAGAGCAGTCATCAGCGATGGAGGGAGTCATTTTTGCAATAGAACATTTGAAGCGTTGCTTAGGAAGTACAATGTCACACATAAGGTGTCTACACCTTATCATCCGCAAACAAGTGGTCAAGCAGAAGTATCAAACCGAGAGGTAAAGCAAATTTTGGAGAAAACTGTGAGTCCAAGTAGGAAGGATTGGAGCATGCGCTTGAACGATGCATTGTGGGCTTATAGGACTGCCTATAAGACTCCTATTGGAATGTCCCCATTTCGGTTAGTTTATGGGAAACCATGTCGTCTTCCAGTAGAATTAGAGCACAAAGCTTATTGGGCGATCAAAGCCTACAACATGGACATGAGTGTTGCTGGAAAGCAGAGGAAGCTTCAATTGAATGAGTTAGATGAAATCCGGAATGATGCGTACGAGTCTAGTCGCATATACAAGGAGAAATCGAAGGCATTTCATGATAAGATGATTTTAAGGAAGAGCTTTGTCATTGGACAGAAAGTTCTTCTATTTAATTCTCGCCTTCGGTTATTTCCAGGTAAGCTTCGTTCTCGTTGGGTTGGTCCATTTGTTATAACTAATATTTTTCCTCATGGTGCAGTGGAACTCCAAAGTGCAAAGACCGGAAACGTGTTCAAAGTGAATGGGCATAGACTCAAGCCATATTACGAGTCTTTTACAGAGCATGATGTGGAGGTTGTACCCCTCCAAGAACCAGCTCCCCTTGGATGATTACTCTTGGTACCGTCCGGCGGCGGACGTAAAAGCAAGCGCTTATTGGGAGGCAACCCAATATTTCTATTCATTGTCTTTTTAAGTCATTTTCAAAATTTTCATTTTTTTTTTTTTTTCTTCTGAATTTTCTTGCGTGCTAAACTGAATTATTTCTTTTCTTTGTAGGAACATTTGGTTGTGTCCACCATTGGAGTTTATTGCAGAATTAAAGTTTTGGGG